ATCTCCACCCACCTGTGCACTGTCCCTGCCTCCCTGCTCCGTGTCCAGCCACACACTAAGCCCCCTCCCCCGCTCAGAGTCTTGCACGTGCTACCCTGCTCCTGCTCAGTGTCCAGCCATTGGGGGTACTTAGACTAAAAAATGTTGAAAACCCCTGGTCTAAGGACATAGGCAGGCAAGGTTGGGCAGTAGCCTAGTGCTGATATATATTCCTCTTGTCCTATGTTTATTCCCTATATATTCAGATTATTTCTGACTGATTGGGTAAATATTAGTTTAATTACCATAGCAAAAAGAAGAGGCAATAATGTGCGTCTTTGTTGTGTACCTCTTAAAAGGGGAAAATTTTCTGACAAGGGCCATTTACAACTGCATACGGATAATTGAGCTACATAACATGTTTCTACTATTTATCTGAAGTCTGCCTGTGTGCCTCTGCACAGTTAAGTCTGCACAGAAATCTGGTATAAAGTCCATTAGCCCAACTACCCACTGCAATATTTCTTCCATGCATCTTTAAACAAAATATTTCATCCACTCATACACTTTATTTTATGCTTAAAGACACTGCAGGAACTGTGTAACTCAACCACAAATGAATTTAAAAAAAAAATAGGTACATACTATCTTTTTACAAACAGCTGCAAAACCACCCTACCAGCTTTAGCCTATGATGTTGCAATATCTCTGAATGTATGAAAGGCAAACTCATGATTAAATGATGACAGCATCATCCCCAAATGAGCTATTACACTGAGAACAAAACTTGTTCATTATAATAAAGCTGTATTTTTAATGTGCAGTGATTTCCCTTTGATTCCTCATGTTGTTTTTTAAAAGGAGAAATTCTAAGGCAGCAATTTTCAGTGGCTTGCGAAGTACTGCCAGCTGATATGCAGAGCTGTTTGTCACAAAGATGAAGCATCTTTGGTGGTGGGATTTCAGTCGTCAGCAGTGACATTTGCTGTGAGCTGTGACCCACCCACATCTCTTTCAGCATGTACATTTTTTTTTTTAAATCTCATTTGTCATTGTAGAATGAGTGTCCTATTATTACTTTTCATGGAAACACAGCACACTTGGTCTAGCTGCAAGTGAAAGATGATGGAGGAGTGATTTCATGAGCTTAGGCTAGAGGAAATTTTGGTTTATTTCTGTTATCAGCTACAGGCTTCCTGTCTGGCCATAAGCAAGTCATTTGGGCTTCCCTAATCAGGGATGAGTTATGCTCCAGCTCTGAGCTTAGGAGAGCTTCTTGGGTCAGGCTGCAATTCTGTTAGGAGTCAAACCAAGTGGTTTTAAATGTGGGTATTTGGTGTATTACTTGATTGTGGCCCTGAAGACAGGTGTAAGTAGCAGTGTAGACATATATGCCTGAAAACCCAGACAGCTTTTAAAATCTCAGTGTACATCTTCTATACATATTTGCTATTCCACCTGGGCTCTCAGTTCCAGCGGAGGGATAGGAGAGATCCGAGCCCCACTAAAGCTAATGGGAGACATGCCATTGACTTCAATGGAGCCTTGTTTGCCGCACAGGGATTCTTATGTTCAGGGCAAGGATTTCTTAGGGTGACATCTTTCATTGGACCAACTCTACAGTTGAGATTAAGTTAGACAAGTTTTGAATGTAAGACATTCTTTGTCAGGTTTCCCTGGTGAGAGAGCTTACCTAACTTTATCCCAATTACATAGTTGGTCCAATAGAAGATATCACCCTAGCAAATCCGTGCCTCTTATATGATTTGTGGACCATCATGGTTACTACACCCATTTAACTAACAAGGATTCTTACCTCAGCTGCTCTGCTGGTCTCTGCTGTGTTCTGCAAATGCACTGTTAGGAAGCTGTTCTAGTTTCGAACAACAAAAGGCACATCTTTAAACAAAACCAACATGGGTTGAACCCTGACAGCATTTGCTAAAAGAATGGACAAGAGAACTCCACCCCCCAGCAGATGTGCACACAGGCCTGCTAAAACAAACAGCCTTGTACAGCACAGCTCTAGTTACTTGGCTGTGGAGCCTCTCCTAGTTCTCCCTGTTATCACTGAGAGCAATGACAGATGACAAGGAGCTGTCACAGAAGAGCTTCAGGTCACCCCTCCTTCCCAGCTCCAGACAAGGCAGGAAATGGCCATTCACCCTTTTGCAACCAGGTAGGAATCAAGACTCCTGTGCTGCAAAAGGAAGCCTGGGGTGATGATTAAGCAGCTGAACAATAAGGTGCCCTCTCTATTCCAGGAGTGGGCCTGCTAGGATCAGAAAGGCTATTCTGTGCACCCATTGTCACATGTTACCGCTTATCAATGATGCACAAAATTGCATTCAACTTCACTTGCTGCATTACTTTTCAGTGTCTTATTTGATGTGCTGTGCAATATCAATTCTAAGTCACTCTTAGGCAGTGCAGCCTTCAGTTTCTGTCCTCTGCTGAGGGGGTGTTTTATAGCTGATTCTTGCCCAGTCCATCTAAACTACCTTGCTTCCAAAAGATCCACAACACGCAGCCTCAGGTGGTTAGTGGAGGAGGATCTGAACTGAGATTTACTGTTACGTATCATGGTCTGTAACCAGTACATAAGTCCAGAGCTAGCTCTGTTGTATGGGAGTATTTCCTCAACTGGTGTTCAGGTGTATCCAAAGTGCAGCTCTGTGGGCCAGGGGCTGGTGTAGTTTACAGTGCAGTTGGCTGGGAATCTCTTTTAGATTGTTTCAGAGTTGTAGCGGGTCAGTATGAGCCCTTCTTGGCATCACCATACTCCTGAAGAAGGACATTAGATCTCAAGAAATCCCAGTTGTTAATTATTTCCCCAGCATTTGGCGGGGAGGGGGAGGGAAACAGGACTGAAATTCAACTGCATCCAATTCAGATGAATACGTTGGCCAAGTACCTGATTTTTGAATAGGAAAGTGCCTCCCATGTCTTCCTCTCTCTGCCAAAGAAAGTGCAAGTAAAACCAACAGAAATTGGAAAAGAGCTGTTGGCTGACTGTTTTCTCTCTCAACTTGACAAAAGCAGAGCCATTTGGATGTTGCACACAGTGAAAAGTCTATAGACCCCCCGGTTACCAAACTGTGGTCGGCAAACACCTTGTGGATGATTTTCTAAGAGCTGGCTGGTCATGTAGTGTTAGCACCTCTTCCTCATTTCCAGCTACTGAACTGTATTAAAATAAACCAAACATAAATTAAATTACTTTTTCCAAGATGCCCTTCCTATTTCAGTACTTGGGGTCATTGCAATGGGATAAGATTTTTCTCTCTTTTGGTGCTGTCATATTCTGCAAAGGCCAGAGAACTCCTGTGTGAAATGATTCTGCATTTGTAAAAAAGGGTTGCCCATTGCTTAGCATGTTATACTTGGGGAAACCCAGATTCATTTCCCTAAGTCTCGTTTATGACCTTGGTCAAATCACTTATGATTCTCAAAGGAGTGCAGCAAGAATAAAACCATGCAAAGATTGTGAGAGGCTCAGGCACTATAGTGACAGGGCCCATGGAGGTACCCGAGACAGGTATCTTAAAAATAAATCAGGAAGCAAAATTAGCAGGCACCCCTCTGTACATTTGAATGCAATACCAAATGAAAAGAGAAAGAAAGCCGTGCTATCTGCTAGCAACTGGTGATTCTGAGCCCTCAGCATGAGGCATCCCAAAATGGCGGGCTTTCTGGACATGCACCCTCTGAAAAGTAGCCTGTTCCAAAGTGGTGCCATTTGGATTCCCAAACACCAAAGCAAGGAAAATTCACTACTCCTTTGGACCTCTCTTCACTGAACTTCAGAGGAGGAAGTCTATGCCCATAATTAAGCCTCCTGCATGGAATATTTAGGCTTATCTTGCAGTTGCCTGAAATAAGATCTGTATCTGACTGTTAGCCATTATTTCATGCTGATTACTGTAATATATGACTGCCGTCATTGTCTATTATATTTACCACAATGTTGCATCATTATTCATCACCCAAACCGTGTTTGTTTTTCAGCTCGGGGAGGAGCATCGCTATACGTCCCGCAACCCAACATAAATGCAACTGTGGCCCAAAACATCCTCCTTTCAGTTGAGTATTTTTACAAAGGCGTTGCCACCATTGAATGGAAGCACGTGTCGAGTTGGGGCACCACAAAAATTGTTGAGTGGAGAACTGGGATTTATACTAACATATCCAAAAGTTACATGGACAGAGTGACTGTTTATGACAATGGCTCAATACAGCTTCTGAATGTGGGTGTGAGAGATGCCGGTTACTACTTTGTCACTGTAACAGAAGAGTTGGGAACCAACATTTATGGCACCATCATATTAAATGTTTATGGTATGAATGATTCGGGAGTTCTTTTATTCTACCAGTGAAATGTAAAGGTGCTCATGATCGTCTTCATGATGTTACATTTTTCCCCCCTTAGAGATTATCTATGAAGATTTACATTTTGTAGCCGTCTTCTTTGTGTTTCTTACTGCTGTGTCTGCCATTTTAGTCTGCTTCATGTGGCTTTGTAATAAGTCGGTGCATCTATACCAGAAGCAGAGGCGCAAGCTAGAAGGTAACTATCTCTGGGGGTAAATAACCCCGATAGGATGTTGTCTTATCAAAATTTTGACCATTTGTTCAGTTATCGTAAGATCCCACATTCAGCACTGATGCCTCCCACTGATGTTAATAAGAATCACCAATCCTTAATATCAGACCTTTAATAGAGGTTAAGGAAGGGTGAAAATTCCTCCTTGTAGACTGAAAAAAAAAAGTGGGGGGTGGTTGCCTGCTTGCTGCAGGGAATACACCTGCACTGGTAGAGAGCTTTTCAGGTCAAATTCATAGGGTAACAAGCCAGTGTTCTTTGCTATCAGCTCCAGCTACAGCAAGTAGGTTTTTCCTCCAGAAGGAAGTTTGTTCCCACACCTCTGTCCCCTTCCTTCTGAGGACAAATGCTCCAGTGACAAACCTTTTACAAGACAGGTGAAGACAGTGTAAGTATCTCAAGTATCATAACCCAGCCACTTTAAGTCTGCTAAAGTCAATTAATTCTAAAGAATATTTGGCTAATTATCTCTTTTCCATACTTTACTTCCAAGACTTGGGGAAGAGGTTTCCACAACCCACACAACAAATATGTCCGTGAGATTCTGTAGCAGCTGAAAACCCTTGCTTTAAGAGCCTCAAACAC